AAAATCCCAGAATATTGAGATATTTTTTCCTTGTTTAGATGTCTATATAATTATTAATTATAATATAGTACTAAAAATAATTTACCATATAAATAATAATAATTCAAAATTTGTCTGATAATATCATCTAATTTTAAAATTTTTATTTACAGCTATAACAAAGAATAGTACGTTATATAATTTATAATATAAATCAATTAATAAATAACATACAAGATTTGATTATCAATATATAATTATTAATTATAATATTATAATAAACGTTTCAAACAATGTCCCTCACAAATGAATAAATCTACAAAATTATAGAATTTAGAAACATAAATTTGCAATTACATTTTAATAAAATTCATATTTACAGCGTGGGATAATCAACAAAGCAACTTTAGAATAGATTTTAAAGTGGTTTGAGCTAATGAGACAATTTATCTTTTTTACATAGAGGTCACAATCATTCTTGTCCCTTAAATTTAAAAATGGTTGGTTGTAAGAGTATCTCAATTGTTTGGGGTCGGATTATATGAATCATGTTCTTCTATTTTTCTCTATTAATTTGTCAATACCCTTAATATGATTACAAGTCACTATATTTTTTCTCACTATCTATCTATGCTCTTTTGGGCCTTCTTTTGCCCTTTTAGAGCCTTCCTCCCGAACCAAATCGCACCTCCTAACCGGTGCTAAAAATTGAAAATTAAAATCTTGTACTCCATAGCTACCTGGATTTTGATTACAAAGGAATCTTGGGGTATTCCAGACATGACATTTTCTTTAATACTAATGAGGTTGTCAGAATGGCTTCTTGTAAGAGTTAATAATGGACTTCACTACCTTTGGATTATATCAAATAGAATTTTGATTGGAGTTTTTTAGGTAATCTAGGTGCAGCTGGGTATGGGAGTATTTGGGGACCATCACGTTGCCATTTTGGTGGCTTTTTCTGACCCATGTGGTCAAGTGACGACTAACAAAGTAGAGGTGTTGAGTGGTCCTAATGGTTGAGGGTGATTCATGAATACAATAAAGTGGGATAAGAAGGAACATGGAGTACCTTGGCGTCTTAGATCGATTAAAATCGGGATCTCGGAAATATGTGAACAATCGGAGGCCACCTGATTGCATGTTTACGGGGAAGCTATGAGATGGCAGAACAAAGGCTAATGAAATTGCAGATGAATCGGCTAAGAAAGGATTTTCTAGGCAAGAGTTGTTGATTCGAACTTTTTAGTTGAATTCTTTTTCGGAATAATGCTATACTTTTTGATGTTACGAGTAAAATGAAGGCAACATCTATCAAAAAATAGAAAGAAAACATGGCGATGTACCACATGACCATAGTTTTAACCTGGTCATACGGGTATGGGTTTTAAAGTCCAAGCCCTTTACCTCTTGGAGCAAAAGGTAACGATATAATCCGCATCCACACATATAAAGATGCTGGTGGGATCATCATAGGCATAACTGTAAGCTGCAGGACAAGCCTCCTTGAACTTCTTGGAATATGATGTGGGCTGACAAGTGAGTGAATTGGCATGCATCCCAGTGCAGCAATACTGCTCTGACCCGAACACATTGCAAGCGCTCCGACACCCGACCGTCTGACTCCCGGCTTTCACAGCTAACTCTGAGGGGCATGTATCCCTCAAATCGCCATCACATCCCGCGGAACTACAATTTCCCTGGCCATGTACTGGAGTGACCACCATGGGAAGGTTGAAGCCGTCAACAAGGCTAACATCATAAAAATCTCTGGCTCCAAGTGTGAATTCGGCTAGAGTAGCAGGGGTGTTCCCAGAGCCACCACATTTGAGGGAACTACCACATCCGCCGGTTTGGCAGCTGCCATTGCCAGTGTCGTCAAAGGAACAACCCGTGCGGCCCCAGATACGTCCGGACCATCCAGTGGGAGCAGTGAGGATGCGGGACTGCCCAGGTTTTAGGGCAAAGCCTCCACCAGCGAGGGCCTCACCAGGGGTGATCCCGGGCCACACAGTTTCCTTGCAGTCGTTCACGATGGTGAAGGTTCGGGCTTCTATAGGGCTTGGTGCAAGGCCTGAGTAGGGGGTAAAATAGGAAATTAGAAATAAGAAGGGCTATCAGGGCCTTAAGGGAAATTTTAATTGGGCAAGGGTATATTAAAAAAAAAACAAAAAAAAGAGGCAATTGAAGAGAGTGAATAGAAGAGTCACAACAATAGTCCTCAGTGTCATCTCACTTCCCATTAAAATGATAGATGACAAAGTGGCTTCCCCATAGACTAAAGGGAAAGGTTTCTATACTTCCCCTATAACGTAGAAGATCTATGGTTCCCTACCATTCAGCCGTCTAATTTTGATCAAGAGAGCCACTCACCGTTTGATCTTAGATCCAATGTCTCAAAGTACTTTATTTTTAGGTTTTTTTTATACGAATTGTATTAATATGAAATTTAATACGTGACAAAGTCTCATTAGGGCACACCTATAAAAAATAGTTAAAATAGTTTTTTGATTAAATATAATGACCCAAATACCTCTTGAAACTTTCAGGGGTATTGTGGTCATTTTATTTTATTGGAAATATTTTTTTAATATTTTTTGCTAGTGCGAGTTTAACAGAGGATTGGATATCTAAAATTTGGTGTCAAAATAATTTATAGAAAAGAAAATTAAAAATAAAATAGTATAGAGACGTGACATTGTGATTGGGGCAATCTTAGCCCTCCATTCAGAATGGACGGGTGGAAGCATAGAAAGTTTGCCCTAGACTAAAATGTCCACTAACTTAACCAGGACTCTTAGAGGAGAAAACAAGTAGGTCAAATGAAATTAATGTTAAGATGGAAACTAAACATTGAAGGAGCGGTTTGAATAAGGTTTCCTCCTTATAATGTAGAAGTGAGGCTCACCTATAAAATTTACTTAGAGATGTCGTTTCGGTGTCGAAAACCTTATGATCGTTTCAAAATCTCTTTTTATCCTCAGTTATAAAATTTAAAATTTTCACAATGGTACAGATCGAGCAGATCAAGAAACACTGGAAAATCTTTAAAATAAACGGTCTAAATAACTTGTTACAAGATGCACTATTTTTTAGACTTAAAATTCTTTTTTATCTTCATGTCCATTCATCTCAAAGTCAAGATGATCAGTTGGAGGGGTTTTCCTATGCCGGAATACTCCCACTGCAAGAGTTTTTAGGTGCATCTTACTTCGACAATATAAGGTTTTTTAGGTGCATCTTACTTCGACAATATAAGGTTGCTATCTTATATAAACTTTTTCCAAGATTGAAAGGGAGGGACAGTAAAAGAAGGGTAAAAATAACATAAATTTATCAATAAAGCCAAAGAGTAAACCGAGATTTACGAAAATTCACTAGAGCAATCAACTATTTGACATCTTATCTAATGGGAGAGCTATCAACTTGACTTTTTATTTTATAGGAGTTAATAAATTTCCCAACAATTTAGGACTCCATGATGATGTAAATGCATGCTTTTAGAGACAATTTGAAATTGATTGAAACAATGATGCTCTATTTGAAATTCGATCTAAAGGGAAATATGATTTGATAATTTTCTCAAAAACACGAAAAGGGAAAAGGACAAGAATCTAGCAAATGATAAGAAATGGGAAGTTGCCCTTCATTCCCTGCGAAAATAGAAAGGAAGGAGGAAAAGCATGTCTGTTAACAAACATATCACTTGAAGGCTTAGCACTCTCATCCATGAAACAAGGGGTAGACCAGAAATAACAGAAAAAAGTAAACCCGTGAGTTTGTGTGTTTGTACGGTCCATTTTTCTCTTAATAATCTGATCTACAGTCCATCAAATGGTGAAACCAAATGAACTATGCGAGTTTTGCACTACGAAATTGTGGTTTATATGGCCCAACTTATGAAATGAAGGATGGTAATGCACACTAATCGAAATCAAGTGAATGGGACCTGTAACAAAAAGACATGACCTAAATCTTGGAACCATGGTTATTATGACCGCACCAAATCCGTGGTCTTATTAACCGGTGCCTTGGTCGATTTGATTTAAAACCAAATTTAGATGAAAATAGGTCAAAATCGATATTTGACTAAGTTAGTCTTGGCCGGAACAATCAGTTTAACGAGCTAAAATGAAATTGCACATAATTTTAATATTTTTTATATTTTGAAGTATTATTTGTTCTATTTTTCTCTAAAATCCAGTCCAGCCAAATGGACTATTTGAGTTCTCCACTAAGAAATTGTGGTTCATATGGCCCATTTAGTGAATTGATAGATGGTAATGTACACTGATCGGAATCCAACGAATGAACTAGCTAGGACCAATTATAACAAGAGGACCTAAATGTTTGGAACCATATTTATTTATACCAGGCCAAACTGATGGCCCTATTGGTGCTTTAGTTAATCTGGTCTAAAGTTTAAAATCAAGTTTAGACGAAAATTAGTTAAAACTGATGTTTGTTTGATTTTGGCGTGTCGGACTAATCAATTTTAACCTGTTCGACCATCAAAATGAAGTTGGGCATATTTATAGTAATTTAATTTTTATATTTTCTAACTATTATAACAAATTTCTTTCTTCTAAAATCCAATCTAACAAGTTTGATTAGTTGTTAGACCGCTTTTGATTAGATGAAACCCCTCAGTGGTTCAATGGCTGGTTGGGCCTTGTTAACATTGGTCGGAACCATGGTAATGCACCAGTGACCTTATTAAAAAGTAGATGTATATAATAAGGTAGTGTACTTACTATATACAAGGAGATCACAATCACTATTGACCCTTAGATGTAAAATCGGGTGGATTAAATGTGTCATTGATTGAACACAAGTCCCATAAAACGAAAAGAAATAAAAACAAATTCTGAAATGTTGCGACACTTCAATATTGTAGAATTTAACATCCATCGCTTGAGAGTGATGATGACTTCTTTGTACTAAAATTAAACAGTCTTATAGCATATATTCTCTATTAAAAGTGGTGAGATTTATATAAGATGTGCACTTTAGACAATAAAAGTAAGACACATCTTTAAACTCTGTTGAAGGATATAGCTTTAGTGCCAAAAACTTCGCAATGACCTAAAACTCTATTTCAAATCTTGAAGTATAAAATTTAAAGTTCGACAAAGGGTGCAAATGAATCTGATTGATAGTCACTCAAAATCTTGAAAGTACATTTCCAAAAAAATGTTATAAGATGCACTATTTTTAAAACTTACCATCCATTTCTTTTGTATCTATACATCTCCAGTTGAGATGATCAAACTTGAGGGTTTCTTATCATTAAAACAACTATTTTTTGTAGGGTTTACGGTGTATCTTACTTTATAGTACAAAGTTGACACCTTGTTTAAGGTGTACCTTACTTCTATCGGTTATTAAGGGCATTTTGAGTAAGAAAATGTTTATACAGAGCTGAGACTCTAAACAATCAAATTAGAGCGCACATCAAAAACTTTATTAGAAGAGATTGTTTTGATGCCTAAATATCCTCAAATTAATCATTTTCGACATCAAGATGTATGTAAATCAGAAAAAAATGGATTTCAAGTTTTTGAAATAGTGCATCTTGTACTACATTTTTAGACCGTCAATTTTAAAGATTTTCAAGTTTTCATAGATTTTTTTGATCTACATCATTTTTTAAACTTTAAATTTTATAATTTGCGATGAAAATTTATTTTAAGGCTATCACAAAGATTTCCAGTATTGAAACCACATTTATCAACATTATTTGAAAGTGTGCTCTACTTTGATTGTTTAGAGCTTGGCTCTATATAAACGGCACCTTTTTTATAGGAAAAAGTTTATATGAGGTTGCAACCTTAAAATGTAGAACTACATATGCACCTAAAAAATCTATCAGAAAAGGTTGTTTTAATGTTGAAAATCCCTCTAATTGATCATCTCAAGAAGGAGATGGATGAATTTGAAAAAAAAATATATTGAATCATAGAAATAGTGCATCTTGCAACACATTATCTAGACCGTCCATTTTCAAATTTTTCATATGTTTATAGATCTACTTGATTTTTACTATTTTTAGAGTTTAAAAGTTTATAATTAGATATGAAAATCGATTTTGAGGTAATCCTAAGAATTATTCACACTAAAATTACATGTTATGATAAAATTTGGAGGTGCCCCTTAATTTGATTGTTTAAGGTTGCAACCTTATAGAAACGACACCCTCTTTTATATAGGGAAAAAGTTTATATAGAGCCGAGGCTCTAAACAATCAAATTAGAGCCTACCGCAAAAATTTCACTAGAAGGTGTTGGTTTGATGCCCAAATGTCCACAAATTGATCATCTCGATATCAATATGCATGGACATGAGAAAAAAATGGATTTCAAGTTTTGAAAATAGTGAACCTTGTAACAAATTTTTAGACCGTCAATTTTTAGGTTTTCATAGATATTCTTGATCTACACTATTTTAAAAGTTTAATATCTTTTGAGGCTGTCACAAAGACTTGCAGAATTGAAACTACATTTCTCGACACTATGATTGTTTGGAGGCTTGGCTCTATACATACCGCACTCTTTATATAAAGCAACAATATTATTTATAGAAGCTCAGGTTATGTTGTTCTACATAATTAATTTTAGTTGAACAACTAAATTTGCTACTCTTTTAAGATAATACAAAGATACGAAGTTTTTATAGGACCTAGGCTTTACGGAAACAAAAAAAGCCTCGCCTCAAATCCTTATCTGGAAAGCACGTTTGACAATAGAAATATGCATGATAGATCTAAATCAATTTTCAAAACCAATAATAAATTTGAAACTCAGAAAAATATACAAATCTTACGTATCTATGAACACCTAATTTTAGGGTGAAATGGACGGTCTACATAATTTGTTATAACATACATGATTTTTAGAACTTAAAATAGTTTTCTTTTTTCATAACTATATATTCAAGCCGAGATGATGTATTATTTTTCAATGAATTATAATTTTTGATGAATTAAGAAGTGATGCTTTACTTATTTTGATTGGGTATCGAACCATTTTTCAAAGAAAAATTAGCGATAGAGAAGAGCGACAGTCCCACTCCGATTTATTCTCCCTTATCTATACGTCATTCTTTACTTATATATTCTTTTTTTTTTATTTTATAAAAAGGCAATGATAAAGTTGCAAAAGAATACCTTGTCCATATCTCCTAAACAATCTCTTTATATTCTATGTGATGCCTTAGTTTTAAATAGTAATCTTTGATTGAAAAAAATGCAAGCAACAAAAAAATAATTAAAAATTTAGAAATGTCTTCTACATGCTAATTATACCCAAAAAATAACAATTTTGTAACGGCATTTAAATTCTCATAATAAACCATAAGAAAAAAACATTAGATAGAAAATTATGCGGCAATAGAAGTGATACTGAATGATTGAAAAATATAATAAAGGTAAAATACTTCAAACAAATTAATTAAAGAAAAATAGTTTGATAGGGCTGCAACCCTATAAAAATAAGTAAACCCTCACTTCAAAACTCTCATAAAGTTGTAATTTTGGCTTAAAATTTTTTTCAAATCAATCATCTTGGCTTTGACCATGATGGTTGTAAAAAAAAATCAAGATTTTAAACATAAAAAATAGCGTATATCTTTTTTTCCCTAAAAATAAATGTTCACTGATTTGTAAGACCTTCAAAAGTTTCATAATCAAGTATTAGAAATTGATTTTAAAGCCAATCAGTATTTCTGATGCCTAAAGTATTCTCCGAAGATTCCAATTAAAACTTTATTGTGTTTCATAAAAGCCTAGCCTTGTAGAAACGACATCCAATCTTAAATAACAAAGACAATGTATATTACTCCAACCTTAGTTCTACGTGTAATGATGGGAACTTAAATAAACTTAATATAAAACTTAATTGGTCACCTAGTACGCCCACAAACAAACTAGGTCTTGCCCAGGGGAACATTTTGATCCTGCAGGACCACCACATAAGCGCCCTTTAGCTCGAGGGAAATTTGCGTCACCCGGGTACCATATTCCGGACTAATAATTATTCACCGTGTCTGATGACCGTACATACATCGGATGTACGGTGGAGTATTCTAAGTTCAGATGATAATCCCGCGTGTAGGATTATTCTATTCTCCACCGTCTAAAAGTGACAATCCACCGTGTACCACAAGCCAAACATTGCAGACGTTGATTATAGATGGACTGACGGTCAAGATTAACCATCCTTCCTGGTGATGGGCATTTACACAACTCGTGTGTAGTATATCATCCCAATTCATCAACGGGCAGTGGACCGTTGATAAAATGAACGGTGTAGATTAAAGAAAGTGGGGGCACAGAAAGATCCTGAACCTTGCAGTCGTTGTTTAAAGAATAACTGAAACGCACGCCAATTACAAAGGCAGATGCGGGGGGTAATTAAGAATTTGTAGAAAAATAAAGGGGCAATATAGTCATTCCACAGAACAAAAGCTTCGCGTACTATCGCGATGGAGAAATTCGCCTGGGGTTCAAGCAGAGAGGAGAGCACCGATATATTATCTTAATACGCCCATGTCTTCCCACGAAAACTTACTGAAAATTCAAATTCGGATAAATTTAGGGACGATTTCGTTTATTCAATTTTGAATCAAATGCAGACTACAGAAATCTCGTCATTCACTCGAGAAAAACAGAGCAACGATATATCATCCTCTTCCGTTAATCTACTCAGTCACTGAATCAGAAATTTACATGAAATTTCGATGCAGTTCCGTCGAAAATAACAAGAAAAAGAAAAGAGCTTCATCGAAAATAACAAGAAGAAGAAGAGAGTTTCATCTAAAGAAAGAAACCGGAAACAAAAGTTCTTAAGGAATTGAAACTTACCTGCCAGGGCAAACGTAACGGTGACTGTCAATAGAGCATGAACAAATTGAAGCATAGACTCCATTTTTGAGCGTTAATTGGGACTCAACTCTGCTGTGGATCTTTCTCTCTCTATTTTACTGACATCCCTTTCACACTCTTTCTCTGAGGTGAGGAGAGACGGGGTGGCGATATACGGAGAGAGAAAAAGGGCATACGTGTGGATGGGTGTTTCGCGGTTGCCTTTGCTTGCACACGCGTTCATTCGATCCCACCTCTCATGCCTGTGACGCGTGTCAAATGAACAGTGATCCATTTAACGACTAGATCCCTCGAATTCGAATAATTTGGTCGCCTGAGGTTTCGTGGAAGGAGGAAATAAATTGCAAAAATATAGTAGTTTTATGATTTTCTTTTGGGATTATATATTGGAAATTGTTTATTTATTTAATTATTTTTGTTATGAGGAGGTGATTAGATATCAAATTGGATAACTTTCGATGTCTTACGAAATTTGAAAGTTTTTTTTAAATTTTGCTTCTCTTCAATTACACATCTACCGTTCCGATTTGAAGTCAGATGGAGAAGAGCAATTGTTACAAATATAAATAATCTCTTTGTATAATTCTCTTTCTCTTTGTTATATGAAATTTGGTAGTTCATGATATTACTGGATTTAAGGACCGCGTGGTGCAACATGTTATGTCACCCAAATACATGTCTCTTAAAAGCGTGTAGTTGGCATACTGGTGCACATGTAGGTTTAGAGGTAAGGTGTACTTTCAAAATTTATTATGATATATAATTTTGATGTAAAATGTTTTTAGGAGTATCTCAAAATCAATTTTAAATCTGATTATAAAATTTAAAATTTTAAAATAGTTAAAATCAAGTAGATCTATAAACATATAAAATCTTGAAAATAGACAGTGTAGATAATATGTTGTAAAATGCACTATTTTTGAGACTGAAATCTTTTTATTTTTCATAGTCATACATCTCGATGTTGAGATGATCAATCAAAGGGTTTTTCAACATTAAAACTACCTTTTCGGATGGATTTTTGAGGGGCATTCGTAGTTCTACATTATAAGGTAGCATCCTTATATAAACTTTTTCCCTCTTAAAATGCTTCTGTTTTTTTGGTAGTGGAATGGTAAGAATCGGGCTTGAGATATAAGACTGCTAAACATCGATTGCTGACCACTCAAGCCGAAGCCCAAGCCTTTCTAACCACTAATGCCCAATCACAATTCCTGATAATATGCAACTCCATAAGAAAGCATCGATGTATCAAAAAAGGGTGTGGTTTCTATAAAGTTGCAACCTTAAATAATCCAATTAAGTCGCACCTCCAAATTTTATCATAACATGTACTTTGGGTATAATTTTTTTTTGGATTATTTGAAAATCTATTTTCATATCTAATTTTAAAATTTGAAATTTCAAAAATAGTTAAAATCAAGTAGATCTATAAACATATGAAAATAGATGGTCTAGATAATGTATTGCAAGATGTGTATTAGTTTTGGGACTCAAAATCTTTATTTTATTTTTTTTAATATTCATACATGTCGATGTCGAGATGATCATTTGGAGGGTTTTTAACATTAAAACGACATTCTTTCATGGATTTTTGAGATGCATCTGTAATTCTACATTTTAAAATTGCAACCTTATATAAACTTTTTCCTTTAAAAAATAGAATGCCTTGCGATTTATTCACGTAGGGGGAAGGAAAGTGTGAGATTTACTTGAAGGACCAAACGCCCACTTTGATCTTGTAGGAGTACCATGTGTGTGCCCCGAAAATTATAGATAGAAAAAAATTAGACAAATGTTAGAAAAGATCACAAGAGCATTTATCCTTCAAGA